TAATTTATTCGTGTTTTGTTTTTATCATGTAGGGTAGTTACCCATCAACAAACTTTAGAAGGATCTTCTTCAGGTTCTTTTCTCCGGCTATAAGGTATAGTTACTTCCATATGGTTAAAGAAATATCGTTGGTTTAGCTTTAAATACTTGATTTATTAATATATGTTAAAATATGAGACAAATTATTCAAAAAGTGATTAGGAGTGATAACTTACAACCACATTTGTTGTATATTTATCGTGCATGTATTTTGATAATAGCTAAATTTCTTGAATTATAGATGGATCGTGATACTTGGATGTATGAATTACAACGTCATGACAAAGAATACCTGATTAGGCTGAAATATTTCCTTAAAGCTGCTGAGGATCATCGAGTAAAAAAAGGAGAGAGTCAAATTTGGTGTCCTTGTAAAAAGTGTCATAATTGTAAAATGTTTACCGATTTAAAGTTAATTGAAGAACACCTTATATGTGATAGGTTTATGAATGGGTATACTCGTTGGTCACGACATGGTGAGCTATTAATTGATCATAATTTGATTGATACCGAAACTAACGACGACGAGACTGACGATTTTGACAATGATAATTATGATCAAATAGATGACATGTTGCATGATATTCAAGATGACATTCCTAATAAAGATTTTGAAAAATTTCAACAACTATTTGTCGATGCGGAAAAACCGTTATATGTTGGGTGTACAAAATTTACCAAACTTTCTGCTGTGCTGAAATTATTTAACTTAAAAGCGAATAATGGTTGGAGTGATAAAAGTTTTACAAACTTGCTAGAGATTTTGCATGAAATGCTTCCTGAAGATAACGAGCTACTTGTTTCATTATATCAAGTGAAAAAATTGGTGTGTCCAATGGGTTTGGAAATCGAGAGAATTAATGCATGTCCAAATGATTGCATGATTTATAGAGATCAGTATGCTGGTCTAGATAAATGTATTACATGTGGTAAATCGCGATATAAACAGAAGAATCATATGGAAGAAGACGACAATGTGAAAAGGAATGCAGCCCCTGCTAAAGTATTGTGGTATTTTCCCATCATACCAAGACTAAAACGATTATTTGCAAACGCCAAAGATGCAAAGTTGTTGCGTTGGCATTTCGAGAAGCGTAGCACAGACGGAAAAATGAGACACGTGGTTGATTCTCCTCAATGGAGAAATATTGATTATGAATTTAAGGAATTTGCTGCTGAGATTAGAAATATCCGATTCAGACTTAGTTCAGATGGAATTAATCCATTCGGAAACATGAGTAGTCAACGTAGTGTATGGCCAGTGCTACTATGTATATATAATCTTCCACCTTGGCTATGCATGAAGCGAAAATACATCATGATGTCATTGCTAATTCAAGGCCCGAAACAACCTGGCAACGATATTGATGTGTATTTGTCTCCGTTAGTTGAGGACATGAAAAAATTGTGGAATTTGGGCGTTGAAGTGTATGATGCATATAAGAAGGAGCATTTCCAACTACGAGCCATGATTTTTTGCACTATAAGTGATTTTCCAGCTTATGCAAATTTATCAGGGTATAGTACGAAAGGAAATAAGGCATGTCCAATCTGTGAAAATGATACACACCGGTTATGGTTGGAAAACTGTAAAAAAAAATGTGTATATGGGACATCGAAGATCGCTTCCAATGGATCACGAATATCGTAAACAAGGAAATTTGTTTGATGGTAAAACAGAAAATGGTAAAGCGCCTCAACCAATGAACGGAAGAACTACGTTTTCTCGGGTTGAAAATCTAAACATTGTGTTTGGAAAAGGTGTTAAAAACAATTGTCCGGATAATTGGAAAAAGAGGTCAATTTTTTGGGAATTACCATATTGGGAAAAGTTAGATGTTCGACATTGTATTGATCCTATGCATATAGTGAAAAATGTTGGTGAAAGCTTGATAGGATTGTTGTTGAACATTACTGGAAGATCAAAGGATGGAATTAAGGTTCGAAGGGACATGATTAAAATGGGAATTCGACCCAAGCTTGCTCCTATTCCGAAAGACGAAAAACACGTGTATTTACCACCAACTTGTTATACCATGTCTAAAGTTGAGAAACAATCATTTTGCGAATGCTTGCATGGTGTGAAGGTTCCATCCGACTATTCTTCAAACATCAAGACGTTAGTATCATTGAAAGACTTGAAATTGAGTGGTATGAAGTCGCATGATTATCATGTGTTACTTACACATATGATCCCCATTGCAATTCGTGGTATACTACCGGACCATATTAGGCACACAATCACAAAACTTTGCTTATTTTTTAACATGATTCATTTAAAAGTAATTGATCCCGAGATTTTAGATTCATGGCAAAATGATATCATCATCACTCTCTGCCAGCTTGAGATGTACTTTCCTCCTTCATTTTTTGACATCATGGTTCACCTTGTATCCCATATTATAAGAGAAATAAAGATTTGTGGTCCTATATTTCTACGTTACATGTACCCATTTGAGAGAGATATATGGGTTTTCTTAAGGGGTATGTAAGGAATCAACATCGACCCGAAGCCAATATTGTTGAAGGATATGCTACAGAGGAGGTTATTGAATTTTGTACAAATTATCTAGAAGGGGTGCCAAGTATTGGAATACCACAATCACGACATGAAGGTAGACTTGAAGGGGTTGGTATAAGTGGGTTGAAAGTGGTTATTCCCGATCGAAATGAATTCCATCTAGCACATTTTACAGTCTTACAACACATGACAGTTGTTGCTCCATACATAAATGAGCACATGGGAACCTTAAGAACAACCCACAATAGAAGGACACAAAAATGGTTGGCAAAAAAGCATATGGGAACATTTCCACAATGGTTTAAAAATAAGGTGAAAGAAAGTTTAGGCACAACCAATGTTGATCCATTAGTGAAAATATTGGGGTATGGTCCACTAAATGCGGTGTCAACATACCAAAGTTATGATATTAATAGATATACATTTTACACTGAAAAACATGATAAAAAGAGTACAGTACAGAATAGTGGAGTCACGTTAATAGCCACATCGATTGACTACTCTAGTGCGACTCATGAAGGAAGGTCAATTATAGCTAAAGACTCATATTATGGCGTTGTTCAAGAAATTTGGGAATTGAAATATGATTCCTCCATTATAGTGCCCTTATTCAAGTGTAAGTGGGTCGACAACCGGCGAGGTGTTAAGGTTGATGACGACGGTTTCACACTTGTCAACCTTTCCACAGAGGGTTATGCAACAGAACCCTTCATTCTAGCCAAACAAGTGAAGCAAATATTCTTTGTTGAGGACCCGAAAGATTCGAGCTGGCACGTTGTCCTACATGGAAAACGACGTATACTTGGGGTTGAAAATGTTGAGGACGAGGAAGAGTATGACCAATTTGACGAGCTGCCTCCATTTTCCATTGGTATTCCATCTTCAGATTTTAACATTGATAATAATGTTTACTTAAGATCAGACCATAATGAAGGGGTATATTGTTCAACCTAATGATGAAGGTATTAAACCATCTATTTTTTTATAAATAATGTTTGATTATAAATGTGTAATGATCTTATGTTATTTATTTATTATTATTTTTTTTTGCAGGAACACAAAATTGATGAGAGTATATGACGAAGAGAATATTTTTTAGTTGATTCGTATTTATTTTGTTTCAAGACTATCAAGCCTTTATTTATTACCATACTTATACTCAAATTAAATTAATTTACAATGGTGCTCTTTAATGAAATTGAATTTATTTTATTTTATTTTATTTATTTTTTGAATGACATGCTATTTGTTGTAGTTCAATGGAATTCAGTTATTATAATATAGTAATAAAAAGAGAAAATGTCTCAGGGTAACAAATTATTGATTTTGTTTATATTCAGTCACTTTCATTTTTTTTTTTGTACGCCATATACTATCTAACTTGTCGAACCTATTCACATTTTATCCTTGTAACCTGCTAGCGTAGGTAAAAGGGTAATATGTGAACAGTTCAACAAGTTGAATGGTATATAATGTACAAAAAAATGACCAAATGTGAACAAAAAAAGAACCTCCCCCACAACCTCCAAAGACCTAATCTACCACCAAAACCTCATCCACCGTCACTACCTCCACCACCGCTGCCTCCAACCTCTACCACCACCTCTACCTTCGCCACCACCTTTAACCACCACCATCACCGCAACAACCACCACCACCACCATATCCATCGGAGCTGGTGGTTATGTTGGAGGCGGTGACGGTGGTGGTTATGGCGGATGTGGTAGTGATGGAGGTGGAAGAGGTGGTGGTAGTAGTGGCAGTGGAAAAGGTTGTAGTGGTAGTAAAGGTTGTGGCACTGATGGTAGAGGTGGTGGTGGTGGTTGTTATAGGCGGTTTCCGTGGCGGTAGTAGAGGTGGTGGTGATGGTGGCGATTAGGCATGATCTTGAAGCACCAATTCGTTTCGAGCTTGTACAACTACTTCTCCTTCTTGAAAGAACTCTAAAATGCCTACCAAAACCCTCTCCTTAAGCTCAAAACTCTCACACACAATACCACATATGAAAGTAGACGAAAAGAGGCTCAAGAAGCTGATAGGATTTGATCTAAGAGGCTAAGGATGATTAAATAGGGGGCAAGTTTGGGATTTAGGGTTTTGACCCTTCGACGCGTACGCCCGACATACCCTCACGTACGCCCTGCGTACGTGAGGCTCCTCCGCGATCATTTATGTAGAGTACGCTAAGCGTACTCATAGGTACGTCCATCATACTCAAGGGACCAATTATGCTAAAACGTAAATTCTTGAGGGTTTCCAGACATACCAGGTTTTCGGTGTTACACCTTCGCCACCACCACCATCACCGCAACAGCCACCTCCACCGGAGCTGGTGGTTGTGTTAGAGGCAGTGATGGTAGTGTTGTGATGGATGTGGAAGAGGTAGGTGGTTGTGGTGACAGTGGAAAAGTTTGTAGTGGTAGTAAAGGTGGTGGCACTGATGGTAAAGGTGGTGGTGGTGGTTGTTGTAGGCGGTTTTCATGGTGGTGGTAGAGGTGGTGGTGGTGGCGGTGGTAGTAGTGGCGGAGGCGGTGGTGGCATAGGTAGAGGTGGTGGTGGTAGTAATGGTGGAGGGTAGTTGTGGTGATGAATGGGGTTGTTGGAGGTGTGTGTGTCGGTGGGGGGGAGGGGTTGAGTTTTTTTGTTCACATTTATTCCTTTTTTTATTGTATTTTATTGGATTATCTCAAATTTGATTTTGTGGTACCAACGGATCGAAATTACAAACTTAGAAAGTGTTTTGAATACGAATTACTTAAATTATCCAAAATAATTTTAATATTCTAATATACATTTTAAAACTCAACTTTCATGTCGTGTCATGCTTCATGTCATATACTATCTTTGATTACCGCCTTATACATTTTTTTATTAGATCATCATCTTAAATATCAATTTCATAATTATATTTACTACATGAATTATTTATGAAAGTAAAGAAAAAATAGCCATAAAAGGATTAACCGTCAACCAATATTTAATTAATATATTATGCATTTGGCAAATTTATGGAAACATTTTTTACCCAAAATATATATGAGCCGTAGATCATAAAGATTTAATTACTAGCTTTGTTCAAAACCCCTTTTTAGCACATATCAGGTTTCACCAAGCACGCCTTTTTTTTACCATCTTTAATTATGGTCTGCAATTCTTTTTTTATAAGAAATATAGTTTCGATTGATAACCGCCATGTAGCATCAACTGCACAATCCTTTAATGTCGCCTGCCAAAATTTTGAGCTTTCCCTCTTAAAATCGATATTAACTTTATAGCCATAATTAAGCCCTAATTTTACAGAAGTGAATTTCACAGCAGTCAATTTTGAGCTTTCCCTCTCAAAATTGATATCCATTGTTGCAGCACCACAACCGTTTGCAGTCAAATCTGAGTTTTTTCACCACTGTGCGCAGGTATTACCTAAGATTCGAGGTAAGAGAAAGAATGTTTCTTACTTTTAATTCTTCTCAGGTTCGAGTATAGAGAAAAAAATGTTTTTTCCAGTAATTTCTATTTTGCACGATAATGTCCAGATGAATATTTAAAAAATTGTCATCTGTTTACTAGGTATTGTGATAAAATTATCAAAGTTTTGGTTTTTGAGTAATTTAGGAGTCTGTAAGACGACAAACAAGTGAAAAAAATGCTATTTTTTATTGTTGATATTTACTATGATTATCTTATTACTAATATTTGATCTGTTTTTTTTTTTTTTTTTTTGTTGATATGTATTGTGTTTTTATGACTTGATAAGATGTAATTTTTCTGACAACTCTTGAGAGTTTATTTTGTCTTGATATCTTATTTGTTCCTGTAGGAATACAATGAGTCGCCCACAAAGGAAAGGGAGGAGTGTCTCTCTTATAAAGGATAAGCCAAAACACAAATTAGTACATTTACAAATTGAGTTCAATGAGTTAGGTCAAACTATCGGAAATAACAGATTTGAATTCACCACCTATTGTGGAGTCACTGTGAGAACTAGGATTTCTATCCTAAAATAGTGGAATGAAGTGCCTCAACCTGAGATTGATGAGTTGTGGTTAAATATTAAGGTATAATAACTAAAACTTGTTATGTGTGTTTATTTTAAATATAATTAAACATGTTAATAATAGTTACTATACACTTTTTACTACAGACTCACTGGAACATACCAAATGATGATTACAAAGCTCAGGTACTTAAAGTTTGCAATCAACAATGGAGGAGCTACAAGTCCAAGCTTGTCAAGTTCATGGACAGACGCATTGATCCGTTAGAAAAATACCCCTACCTAGACAAAGACATGTGGAATGATTTTGTAAAGCAAAAGTCCAAGCCCGAATTTAAGGTATGAAACTCTTGGTAATTATTTACTACATTTTCTCCATTAGCTCATAAGAAGTGACACATTTACTTTCTTACTGGTGAGGTTATTTATGTTGTAATGTTTGTAATTTTGCTCCTCATATATGAAGGAAATAAGAGTGAAAGCAACAGCAAGTGTGATGATGAACAAGAACCCGCCCCGTTTAGGCCCACAAGGGTATCGTGGCATGCGACCTCGATGGGAGCAAGAGATGGAGTCTGGTGTATTGACAAAAGCCCACCAGATATCAAGCGAACGAGCAAGGGAATATATATTTGCTCGGTTAAAACGTGACTCCTCAGGGGCATTGATTGTAACACCAGATATGGAGCCCTTAGTGGATAATATTGTACAATAATAATCCATTTATTTTAATTTTGCTATGATTTCCCTGAAATAATGTTTCTTATGGGGTATTTGTTCTCAAGATCATGTTGTTTACATGTACAGGTAGAGAAAGAAAAGCAAGTATCTCAAGGAGACTTGGAGATTAGACCAAGATCCAATCTATTGGTTGAGGTTTTAGGACCAGAGCATCCTGGTCGTATGAGGGCAATCGGGTACAATGTTGGACTGAAGCAATCTATACTAGGGATTAAAGAGAAAAATAGGAAAAAACATGAGATACTAGATTTGAAAGAGATGAAGGCTAAGCAAGAGGAACATGCTAAATCGATTGATGACACTGTTACAAGCCCAAGCCCGGTGGTGAACAAAACTAGTCTTGAATCGACACTAGTGGTGGATGCATTAGATAAAATATCAGTGCGTATTGTGTATCTGTATAACATAAATAATTACTTATATAAAGGCACTAGCTACATATATACTACATGATGTGTGTTTCAGGTTCCTATAGAGTGTGAGTTGTTGCTACCTTACAGCATGGTGCAAAGAAGATGTGCCAAGGGACGCGTCCACCCATTTGGAAATGGGATAGTACACTCGACACCTTTACAAAAAGATCATGTGAAGGTATCAGTAGATATAATCTATGGTGACTATCATTCTCTCCATATTCTCTGTGCCAACCAGTGATGCTGATAACCTAGGGGAAGCACTTTATAGTTTTATTCAGTGGCCAAGACATGCGATTCTTCTTACTAAGGTATACATGCATATCCTTTATTTTTCTTCTAATATTGTAGTAGTACCATAATTATATTAATCACTTACTTTGACTATCTACTAGACCTCCCACTCGCCTCCATCCGTGGAAAAAGATGCAAGTCCTCCCACTAAAAAAGTTTCCCCTGTTATGGATAACCAGGTAATTGCTTAAAACTAGTATTAGTCCCTTGAAATTCTTGAACCCTATGTAACATTCAAATGGTCTGTTAATGCAGGTCCAACAATACCAAAAAAAGCAAGCAGCCAAGCGGTTGCCAACAATTGCAAAGAGGGCAACACAAAAATTTGTGACACCAAAGAAACTACAAGGCAGACCTGTCATTCAATCATGGTATAATAATTTTACAAGCAACAAATTTATTGAAGAATTTCATGTTGAGTCAGAACCTGGTATGTTTGGGCCGGGGAGGGTTGAAACGTACATTAGGCATGATGTGATTTTAGAGATGTTGAATAGTGAAGAGCTTGACATCAGTTGTATACTTTGGTATCAAATGTAAGTGTATTAATTTTCATTATATTAAACTTTTAAAATATTTTATTTTTATAATATATATTATTTTGTTTCAGAGTGCTACATTCCATTCTTGCAACAAATGGGGTTAACAGATGTGCATTTATAAACCCACACTCAATCACCGAAACAGTATGTGTCCATGATGAGCAGGACAAGACTAACCAACACAACAATCGTGTTGCAACTGACATCGCTGAAACAATGAATTTCCATCAAGAAAAAGACTTTTTTCTTGCCCCATATTGGCAAAGGTACTATAGTCTACTATAATAATTGTTGTATGTTTTTTTGTTCATTGATTTTTATCCTAAGCACTTTAAACATTCTAGTCGTCATTGGTTGCTGCTTGTGATTTGCCCTTATCAACGCACTGGTTACATTTTGGATTCCATCAAGAAGTCAGGAAATCCGACTAATTCCTACAAAGTCATAAAGCATGTTGAAAAGTAAGATATTTTTTATATATTTTTGGATGACATTTCTTTCTATAAATTGTAACAATATTACTTGTTTTTGTTTTAGGGCTGTTGAAATGTTTAATGAAGATTTTGAAACATCACATCCAATGACATGGACGATTGCTGATGTAATTGACCTCTCTCTCTCTCTCTCAATATATATATATATATATATATATATATATATATATATATATATATATATATATATATATATATATATATATAAGAAAACCTTTAATGTTTATTTTTTCAGTGCAATCAACAATCGTCTAATTGGGAATGTGGCTATTATGTGTTGAAATGGATGCGTGAATTTGTCATGTATCGGCAATATGCATTCCCGAATGTAAGTAACTTTTGTAATATTGTTTTTTCATTTTGTCTATTGCACCAAACAGTCTCTTTTGTTCAATAAGAGTTTTTGTTTTATTCTGCATATAGAACCTTTGGAATGATATAAACCCCATTCCTGAAAAGTTGTTGGACGATGTGGTCAATGCGTGGATGACTACTTTTCAAAGTAAATATATGAAATGAAGCCTGTGTTTAATGGTTAGTTCTATTTTCTACACTTGTTATTATTGGATTTATTTTGATTAGCCTTAATTCTATGGTTTAAACAAAGTCATGTATCATATGCTTTGTTTTTACACATAAAAATATAAAATCTTGACTCATCTTTACTTTTGGTTCTTGATTAGCTTTTCATTGCTGATGGTTGGTTCGAGTCCACTTTGAATAATGGAGCCACACTAGTCCACTTTGAATAATGGAGCCACACTAATCAGAAAGGTGCAAAAAGATAGAAGAAGTTTCTTTGTTTTTTTTTGTTTGTTTTTTTTTTACCTTTTTTAGGTCTTATAGGTTTGTAATGAAAACAATTGTCCTTCTCCTTTGTCGTTTGAGTCTAGCATGATTGTTTCTTAGTATTTTATTTTTAACTACTATTTTGTTATAGTTACTTTTTATTATTTGGAATGACCAATTATTATTGTTCGTAAAATGCTAATGTATTTATGTTTATTTTTTTATTGTAGTTGTCAATTTTATAATTTCTCATGACTAAATTTCTGAACTTTATAAACACGCATATCCATGTATCAAACGGAAGACCGGTATAATTGGTTTCGAAACTATTTAATATTTGATTTTTTATTAATAGACATATAAATTACGGTTCTACAACAGTATTCTATTTCCTAGATTAGTGTACTAAATCTTCTCATATATTACGGTTCCGCAATCGTATTCTATTACTTAGATTACCGTACTCTATATTCTTATAGATTACAGTTCTACAACCGTATTCCATGCATAGTTTACCGTATTATATCTTCTAAATAGAATACGGTTCTATAACCGTATTTTATTGCTTCTTCAAATAAAACACGTTCTATTAGAATACGCTTCAATGTCTGTATTATAATTGCCTTTTCAACCGTATTTTATTTTTGATTTTGTAGTAACAAAACACTAGAATTGGAATACCACCACGAAACACACCCACAGATAAAGCCCTCTAGTGAGGGTTAAGATCAGGATGAACGCATCAATGCCAAGATATTAAGACTTTAGGAAGTTAAGACCGATAGCATACAATTTAGAGGTGTCATCGAATATCGGAGACCCACACAGCAGTAACCGCAAGAGCACTTGAGGAGCATCATCAACGAACAAAGGAATATATTGGAATATGTGATTCCATCCAAAAAGAAAAAGGCAACGGATTATAATCGAACCGTTGCATAACCAAGAGGCTAAGTATCCAACTATATCAACAAACCGAACCCATAGTATGTACAACAAAATTTGAACTTGTTGCAAGACAAACTCTTGAAACCGAATTCAAACAAATTTAACTTTACAACAAGGAATTAATTGCAGGAATTGTAGGAGTCAAACATCAAGCATATATCACAATCTAGAGTAGACCAATTTTTTTTTTGGATCAACAGAGAAAAACATCAACAAACTTGTGAGCAACAAACAAAAATAGCATCGAACTATAGAACATCGACATAAGCAACACCTGATTATTGAATAACGATCAAGTAATATTAAACCCACAAAGATAATAAACACCAATTAATAATACACCCACAATACAGTTTCACCAATGAACATTTAAAACCATCAATGAGAAGAAGACCTTCAACCATATGAAATGCTTTTCAAATAAAGATTATAACTCCAATATATATATATATATATATATATATATATATATATATATACCACCTTGTAAGAACCATTAAACACGAAAAGACAAAACACACACTGAAACAAAGAAGCCCACATAAATGCAAATTCTCGTAGCCAAGAAATTGACCTATTGTAATCTACTACCCAAGAAATCAAGACACACGCCAAACACACTCCTATTGAATGAAAACATATACCGATAAACACTAAAGTTAAATTTAAATATAACCCTAATGATCCAACATATAATTTCTTCACCATATATCAAAAAACCACTCCAAACAATTTAATTTAATAATTTTCAAAACAAACAGGTGAATATCATATATGTTATCACACCATGGGTTAATCATCCAAAACTCTCTTCCTTTGTAGAGAAAGACTTAGTATATAAGAAATATCCCTGCAAACACAATTAGGCACAAAAACAATATAAAAATTAATACAAAACAAAATTTGATTTTCCAAAGTTGTAATTAATTTAAATATGAGATAAAGAAAAAAAAAACAAAGTAAAATTTGATTTTCCAAAATTGTAATTAATTTTTCTTTTGACTTAAATTGTTTAGATATTTTCATTTATATTTGGTCAATTTATTTAGTTTTAGTTCGTTTAACTTTTATCATTTTTATGTTTATTTTATTTTTCTTGTTATGATTTATTTTTCTTTGCATGATAGAAATATAATACAAAGAATGCACTGAGTTAACGAAATAAAGTCGATACTTTTGTTCTTGGAGACAAATTTAATATGGTGCCTGGTGTTCTAATTATCTATGTACATTAAGTTTAGTCTTCAGTTGAAGAAAGAAGTAATGGGAAAATTGATATACTTTCTCAAGCTCTACAAAAAAATCTCAATATATTCTTAATGTCATGGAGTTAGTTTCAGCAACAAAGGAGAGTCTAAATGATTCTAGGAACAATGGATAAGATTCTTTACTTGTACATGTTACGTTTTTTATGAGAAACATCAAGTAGATATGTTGGATAAGCTCCATATACTTCTACTCGATATCGGCCTCAAGAAAACGATAATCGTGTTACTTTGAACATTTTTATCGAGTAGATTTGTTTACATCCACATTGGACAAATAGTTAAATGAGTTGAACAGCATATTCAATGATTAGGCAGTGGAGTTGTTAAGTCTTAGTTCTGGTTTAGTTTCAAAAGAACACCTTAAAGTGATTAATATTGATCAGATTTGTCTTCTTGTTGAGAAGTATTATCCTTAATGTTTTACGAAGCAAGAGAGAATTCAATTATGATATCTATCGGAGATTTTTAATATCGATATGACAAAGAATCTCAGGCTAAGTGTTGTATCAACAGATGCTGACCTATGCAAAGGTCTTGTGGAAACTCAAAAAATATGAGAAGTATTATTTGCTTGATAAAGTGGTGTGGTTAATCATGACTCTTCCGGTTTCTACTGCAACAACAAAGAGGGGATTTTAGCAATGAAAATATTCAAGAGCTGCATTTGCAATAAGATGTCAGATGACTTTCTCGCAAACAAATGAGTGGTTTACATATAAGGATAAATTGATTAAAACAATGATACAAGTAAAAAAGTAACTACTTAATTCCTTTGTTGAATGTATTCAATGTAACACCCACAAGTAAAAAAGTAACTACTTAATTCCTTTGTTTTCTTTATACCAAAACAATCTTACGTTGTCAATTTGTTCTACCCAACATGGGTCTGATGTGATTTCCGGTGTTAATGGCTGAGTGCACAAGTAGTTCCATATTTTGAGTCCTCCATCTATCCATGCCCCTAAAGTCGGTTTCTGGTTGGATGTTGCTGTTGTAAGCTAAATTAACTGTATTGGTATTGCTTTTGTCTTGATTTCAAAATTTAAGTGCAGTTGCCTAAGCCGATTAAGTGTAAAAATGCAATGCTATCACTTGTTGTTTCAAACAACTCATCTTTTACTGAAATGGAGCTGCTTTCATTTACAGAAAATATGGATTATTAGCTATGTTGTAGCTGCTTAAAGTTTTTAAAGGCTGATTTTTCAAGTAAAAATGATGAATATTTTTTAATTATATGTACAATGGTCTTTTGCTTGTAGTTATATGTATCCGGATGACATGTGTCTCTTGTTTTGTAGTTCTACTTACTGCCATTTTCATGTAATGAAGTGTTCATCGTTTAAAAAAGAAAACTTATAAGTCAATGGTTAATTTCAAAGTGTGATGTAAATATGTAATTACATACTAGATCTATATTTCCTGTTACATGTGCCTATGGATGAGATTGAATTACTGAAAACCGGACAATTGGAACCGTTAAAACTTGTATGGGTTTCTAGTTTAAAGATTACTTCATCCGGATTTTAATTTGGGTAATCAAGGTTTGGGTCCCTTTGGTCCAGGTAAACTGCATCTAAGAATCGGGCCAGAACCGGTTTTGATATCGGGTTTAGCACAGTGCCATTGACTCGAACACTAGCTAATTGATTCAACCCTTTGAGCTGCAGAATGTTGCATTTAAAATTGTTAATTGTTTTTGAGTATTTGAAAATATGGCGAAAATAAAATGTAAGTGAAAGTTTTATTATGAATATAAAAAGTTGAGACATTTGGGATCCTAATCCAATTAAATTATAAGAATCGAAATATTCTAAGAACCCCTAATTGTAAAAAATATATTATTTATCCACTTAGATGTTATTTTACTATAATATTTATTTAATAAAAGGTGTGGTAGTATTAGGCTAAACTTGAATATTGATTGTTGTTGTACTTTAAGAAAAGGGATTGGAAGTGCATTTGTTGAAAGCTGAAAATGGGAGAAAACAGAAAAAGGAGTTTTGGTTACAACTTACAAATAAAGGAATTGAAAGAATTTGTTATTAATTCTCGGTTTTTAAAACTGAACCTGGTCATATAGCGTATCCCCTTTTAAGTGCCGGTTTTTCTATGATATATCCCGGTTTTCCCAAAAACCGGGTCCTATTTTGCGAGTCCTATGACGGCTTTTGTAGTAGTGCCTAGACAAAATGAAGAATCGCTTATTCACTTGCGGCTTTTAACGAATATATTTTCTGAAAAAAATATTATATTCCGATGATGATTTTTCTCACATAAACGAGGAAGAAATTTCCTGGAAACTGCCTACAACCAGTAGCTACTGTTTACTCTGCATGAAAAAATCGAATGCAACCAACGGTTTCAATCAAGGGTGCACCCGGCACTCACCACCTCCCATCCACGTGTCCAACATCAAATACCACGTCACACTATACTCACTCTATTTAATGCCTTTATCCCCAACACATACTTAAGTAAAACAATTTAAAAAATGAAGGCTAATCTCTTTTCCAT